TCAGCCGCCCCGGGCCGGGCGCTCGTCAGCGGGCGGCAGCTGGAGAACGGGTTGGAAAGCTGGATCTTAGTGCTGCCGCCCGCCCCTCCTGAAAGAACGCCCGTTTGGGGCCTGCCGAGCCCACACGGAAGTTCCCCAGCCGGGCGCCGGGAGGAGGGGGCCTGTCCGCTCCCCACCGTGCGGTGCGGGGAGCGCCGGGGAAGGGCCTCTGCCGCCCCGGACCCCTGAAGTTGGTTTGACGGCTTCAGAGCTGTTACCGTGAGGTCCCTCTGCTGAAAGAGTTAACAGAGCGGAAAAGTGAAAAAATCGGAATGTATTTTTTTTTTTAATAGGAGTAAGAAAAAAGGTCGTTTATTACGTACATCATTAATTCTGGTGTAAGTAAAACTCGGTTTGTTAGGGTACTGAGTTAAAGGTGGCTGTGAACTTCTAATGACTAGAGTTGAACCTAAGTATTTGATTTAATGTGTTGGTTATGAATCTTCCCTGCCAGCTGTTACAATTTTATATTTACATTTTCTACCTCTACAAAAATGTGTTCCCCAAAGGAAGAAGAGAAAACAAAAACAGGAGGTACACTGAAACTGTTACTGAAAGTGCTGTCGATTACCCAAAGTAAACAAAAACACTGTGAAAGGTTGTGGTTTGGGTTTGTTGTGTATGGGTTTTGTTTATTTGTTTTCTAAGTTCTGAAGTCTTTTGGTAAGTTACTGTCTGTAACAGTAAAGTGACTTGCAAGATACTTGGTTTACTGGGAGCTAAACCTGTCCCTTTAAACTGAGTGAAAGGAGAGTTGCTTTGTTACTTATTACTCTCTCTTTATTCTAATTCTGGAAATTGACTTTAGGAGTAGTAAAGGTTACAGTCCATTAAACTCAGTCTGGAACTTCTGTTTGTAAAGTAAATATTGTCAGTGGTGCTGATTCATGGTAGATGAAGTGAAGATACTCTCCGTTGAATTAAATTGCGCTGCTGTGAATCGGGCTGTAGCAAACTGCAGGCTATTTTCTCACAGAAATACTAAGCTTGTAAATTGCTCGTTAATATAGCACTTGTTAATGTTCTTGGTTACAGTTTAATTGTATTTTAAAATGCTTTCACTAGGTTCATTCCAGCCAACGAATGAAATGATGCTCAAGTTCTATAGCTTTTATAAGCAAGCAACCCAAGGACCCTGTAACATTCCACGACCTGGATTTTGGGATCCCATTGGTAGATATAAATGGTAACTTTTCGTGAGTTGTTGTTTTGCTTTGTTTTTATGCTTGGAGTGGAGATGTTTGGAGTGGCACTTGGAGAAAGAATTTAGTGAGTTTATTTCTCTTAAAGAACTTTCACAACCTTTAATGCTTGAATTAACTTTCTGTCTTGTGTTCCAACTTTCTAACTCGATTAACTTGTAACTTCTCACGGTTGCAGGTGAAAACATTCTCTCGGGTTCTGCATGTGGGCAGGTTTTTCTTGAGCAAGCACCATCATGGTACCTCTGCAGTGTTTATTGCATGTTGTAGAACGAAATTGTAGGTGTTGTGCAGAATGAGTGGTGTGGATGAGTGTCTGGAATTCTTTCTTATCAAGTTTTCATGTATGATGTAAGCCTGAAGTATGTAAGTGCTCATTTACAGCCATTGATATAGCTTCAAGCTTTTGGAGAGAGTTCTGGTTTGTGTGTCTTTCTGGTTTGTCTGCTCAGTGAAGGCTTACTGCTGTCTGTATTTTCCTTGTGCTGGAGAGACTTCTGATTCAGCAAGCTACTAAGATCTATTGGAAAAGCCATGTGAATGCTCTGCTTATTATATTTTAATATTGATTTGTCCTGAGGAACAAGTATTATTGCTGTCTCTACAGTCATGGTCATTTTGGGATCTGTGAAATGATTGATGATTCCTTTGACTCTTCCCTGACACACACACCCCCACCCCTCCCCCTTCCTTCCCCATTCTCCCCAAGTCAGGGTGAAGGAGGTATGAAGGCAGTATCTTTATGGAGGACTAGGGCAGTAAACTTCCACTGAAATGTGAGCCACCAGCCTTGGGGTTTTGCTTTAAGTGGGACAAATGCTCTGGCAAGAGGAAGGGACAGTATCAAATCAAGTGCAATACTGAGTAAGGAAATGTTTTATTCCAGTCTGTGTTCTGACAGATTCCTTGTGCAATACCAATACATTTGTTTGGAGTTTTCCATCTTCCAGAGTTGGGGAGGGGGAGTTGTGTTTGGTGGGGTTTTTTTTAGGTCATAAATAGCTGCTATGGTAACTGGGGGTGATGGTTAAACTATTTGCCTACTAGACTGATGTGTCTTTTCCCAATTGCTAAACTTGAAAGGGACAGATTTTTCTTGCAGCTTGTTCTAACTTGCTGACAACTGTTTGTACGTGCTGCCTGAAGTGTCTGTGCCTGCTCTTTTTCTGCAGCAGAGGGTCTTAAAAATCAAATTAATCAAAAGGGAAATGTGTGTGTCTGATATCTGGGCTTGTTAACAACTTAGCAGGTACAAGATCATAGCTGGTCAGTGAGGAACTCTTCAGTCCCAAGGCTGTTCAGTTTGTTGCTTCTTTGTTGATGTACCACTATGTGATTATCATAGCAAATTATATATTTGGACTTTAAAAACAAAAAATGTGAGTTGTTGCTGCATTTTTATTTGTATTGGAGAAACTTTGGGCATTACATAACTGACCTACTTAAGGCCAGGCTGAAAAAACCCAGTAGGCCTTGAAGATACTGAAGATGTATGTGACTTTTCCCTAGGGATGCTTGGAGTGCCTTGGGAGACATGTCCAAAGAAGAAGCCATGATAGCCTATGTTGAAGAAATGAAAAAGGTAAGTTTGCTAATGAGCAGAAGGGATCTTCTAGAACAAATGTTCCAGAGATAAATTGGGGAACATGAGAAGGTTCTTGCTGACTGCTACTGTCAAAGCTCCAGACGAGTTATTCCCTATATGAACTGTTACATTTCAGTACTATGCTGTTTGGCCCGCAGGGAGAAGAAGATTATGTAGTTCCTTCCAAAGCTAAAGAATTTGGGTTGTTCTCAGAGAAGTGTGAGAACTCTAGCTGATACGAAACTTAAATGACATAGCTAAAGAAAGTGAAATCATGGTAAAGGGGGCAGTGGGGAAAACAGTGGAACTTAAAGTGCAGCAAAAGCGAAGTGGTTTTACTGCAAACCGCCTCAGTTCTGAGTTGAGAGAGGTAAATGATCCTTTTCTTGGAAAGGAAAAAAACAACCCTCTGGAAGGGCTTCAGGAGCAAGAGTCTCACTGTCATGACTAGAGTCATGATTATAATCTAATACATAAACTTAGTCTTTGTTTCTTTGATTTGATTGAGAAGAAATCGGCAACCTGAATTTTCTGTACTTGTCATGAAAATATTCCTTGTATATAATAGTTGCAGCCAAACAGTTAGAATTGAGTAATTTGGTCTCGTTTTTTTTTTTTTGAATAGATGTGTAACTTGTAAACAGTCATAGTTGCTTTATTAAGCAGGAATTGCAGCATTAACTGAAGTAAACATAAAGAACTAAAGTTTCCTGTCTGCTATTAACTAGCCCTTTTCACTGCAGTCTTTTCACTGAAGCTCTTCTAGGTGGCCTTTCCAGTTTAAAGATTATTTACTGTCAATCTGGATAAAAGTATAATTGTAATCTGTTATTATAATGAGGTTAGCATCAAGGAGAGAAAATGTGAGTTCTGAATACACTTGCTTTTCTCCTAGTCCGCTGTCTTGACATTGAACTCTTAACATGTTTAGTGATTGATACAATAAAAACTTACAGTAGGCAAGGAGCTGGAGTCTGACTGCTGTTCTTTCTCCTGTCTGTAATTTTGGTGATTTAATTCCTGCCGGTGTTACTGTAGCTGCTTTAAAAGAAAAAATAAACAACTCTTAAATAAAAAACCCAGAAGGCCAAATATTGCTCATTTTGTTAGAAATCCTGCTAAGTTTTAATAATTCCTTTTGAATGTGTGCCACAAGATTTAGTGCTTCATTTCAAACCCCAGACTCAAAATGTGTTAATACTTCAATACAGTACTTTATTTTTTTTCAGTGCAGTAATTGATTTGGTCAGGACACTAAAACTAAGTGGAACTACAATGTTTGTTCTAAAAAAAACCACCTCATAGTAAGCCTCCTGTGAGGAAGTCTACTTACTTGACCCTGATGAGGCACAAATATTCTGCCTCTGTACAGATTACATGGAGGGATTGGAGCACAAATGACTTCTTGCCTTGCTCAGCTCTGAAACTCATGAGTCTGTTTACCCTGCTCTGGTGCTGTTTCAGCTCTCACAGTTGAAATAACTAGCTTCAGCTTTTCCAACCCTATTGATTCTACTTGAAATGTCAATGGAAGTGCATTTCGACTGGGTCTGTTGGGTTGTTCTGTCCGCACATACTGCACTAATCCTTGTGGTGTTACTGTGGGCATTCTGCTGTTGCTGCACAGGTATCCAGGTGTAAGGGGGCAAAAACCCACCTGCAGACTGATACCACAGGACTCTGTAAGGGAGTACAAGATCACCCTGTTTCCCGACTGCCCCTGGGGCATGACCCTAGCATTTGCCCACTGTGTCTGGGCTATGCATGCATTGGATGACCCTGTCACAAGATACATTTACGGTAAATTTGTTCAGTGGTTTGGTGTTTTTTTTTTTCCCTTCGTGTGGTAGCCTTGGCAAGTCACAGCTGTTGTGGAATGGGTGAGGTTTTGAGATGCTGATGGGAGATGACCAAACATGTCCTAGTCTTAGCTAAGATGAAGCTGAGCTCAGGTGCATTTTGTTTAAGGTTAATTTATCTTCCAAGTAGCATTTCTGAAATTTTATATTGTAATACTGTTGAATTTATTTACATTTCAGAGATGTTTTTGTTATACATTAGAAATGAGTGATTTCTTAGCATGAAGAAGTGTTAACACTCTATGATGTTTCTATTTTAAAAAGAGTCTTCATATATGGATTGTCAGACATCCGGAGAAAACAGTAATTCACGATACATAAATTATTTTGTACTTTCAAATTTTAAGATTGCATATTATGCCTAGTGGCTATATAAGTAAGCAATTGATTTTGTTTGTGGAAGTATTTGCTCTTTTCTTGCTCACCTAAAAGCTAGCAGTTACAAAACTCTTACTTCAACAGAAACTGTGTGGTAAGATTCTAAGAATTGCTCCAAGTTGCAGAGAATATACTGAGGTCTGTTTAGAACAGATGAAGAGCAGTTACGTGCAGACATCATAGGAATACACGTACGAAACAGTTTACAGTGCAGACTATAGAAGTAAATACATAGCAAATACAAGTGAAATTCTAGAACAGATTTCTTGTTTCTCTCAACGCTATTGCAGTTAGAAAAAAATAATCACAAAACTGGCCTGTCTGGTTCATATCCAGCTCTATCTCAGCACTGAGCATTTCTCTCTAACAAATATGGGATGAATTATATGCAATGAAGAGATGAGAGAAGTGGCAATGAAACTGCAGTTTGACAGGATCATTGTCTCTTGGTATCCTTGATTGGTTTGTTGCTAGCCTGCTTGGAGCTCCTGCTTTGTGAAGTAATGCTGTAGCTTTTGCTTCTACTACTTAGTAACATGCTTGGTGCTTTTGAGCAGCATGCTCTGTGATGACTTGTATCTCCTTCTGTGGCTCTTTGCTCTTCTGGAGGAGGAGGTGTATTGTAGCTGTTAGTTTGCTTCTATCTGAATCTTTTCCTGTAGCTATTGCCTCTTTAAAAAAAAAAAAACTAATAAAAATAGTAGAGGATGAAAGAGGAACAAAGCTATCAGCAATTGGTTGAAAGGACTTAAACTAGAATGGGACAATAATATTGTATGCTTTTAAAATAATTTTCCATTATTGAATGTCTTCTGTTTAATCTATTTTAGAGTTAAGATTTTGCATTCCTATCAGATGACCAAAGGTATTGGTTTTGTGGTTTTAAAATGAAGAAATTTTTATCAAAGGAGAAGCTCCAAAGGACTTCAGGAACGGAATTTGGTTCTGCTAAGCATGTCTCTGCACTGTCCCACTTCTGCTGTATTCTTTCCATTTTGTTGTCTGGGTTTGGATGGGCCCAGTAAGGCATTTTTGAGCTGCTCCTTACATTCCATTGAAGATGGCAGGGTTTGAATAGAAAGAATCCTCTAAGAAAAAAAGCCTTTCAGTTTAATTTTCTCTGTGGGAAGACTTGTCTATAAAATAAACTGCATTGGGTAACAGCAGCCTGTTGAACTTTGAGCTGGTTTAGTTTCAAAGTGCTGAAATAATGGATTCCAAGGTCTACTGGTACCATGCTGAGGCAGTCCTTTAGTGGTGGCAAATGCAAAAGCTCTCCCATCAGCGCTCCTGTCTTCTCTTCACCTAAGAAGCAGCTCATACGGGTAGTTAAGATTCTTGTTTGGTAAATTAGGTTTATGTTGTTTTCGTTTAACTAAAAAAAAAAGAAAAAAAAATCAGAATCATGTGTTAAGTGACTTAGTGAAATGTTACTGAGGTTGCAATGATCAGCAGTTTCTAAAATCAGTAGAAATGAATGAATTACTGAAATGCTGTTTCATAAGATGCTTCGTATTTTGAATTTGTCCAGATTCTTGAGAGTATGCCAATGACGGACAAAGTTGAAGAATTACTACAAGTAATAGGCCCATTCTATGAAATAGTAGAAGATAAAAAGAACAGAGGATCTGACCTAACTTCAGGTTTGAACAAATAACTTCCTTTATACTAATAATAATCACAACTCCAGATTTTTTGGGGCTTGTTTTCTGTAAGTGATTTTTAAAGCTAAACATTGCATCTTTCTCTTCATTCTCTTTACCACATGGCAGTTCGAATGGAGAAAGTCTCTAAGTATTTGGAAGGTAGGAATGATAAATTATGTGTAAGTCCATCTCTTCCATTCTTTTGGTGCTGTAGAAACTTCCTACTAGCACTTGTGACTTCTGGGCTTGCCACCTCATTAGGCTGGATTTTGATTTATTTTGCTTTTGAGATACAAAACAAAGGTAGACCCAGGAAGCTGCATTTTTAGTCCTTGTCTTCAGGCCTTTTGAGCTGCTGAAGGAACTCTTTTTCCTGGAAACAAGGAGAGTATATAAAACACAACTAATTCCTCCAACCAGATCTGGTTTCTGCCTTTCCGTTAATGAGGAACCACTATTTGAATTGTGTAGTGCTACATCCTGATGTAGCTGTGGATTATCAAACTGCATGCAGAGCTGGTAATCCAGCGCTCTCATCTGAAAAAAGCCACAATCAAAATCTATGATTTTTTTAATTGTGGTTTCTCTAATACAGAATCGAAGATGAGTTTGTGAAACTTTCAAGTTAAGCTTTCTGAGGCTCAAGTTCATGAAGGGAATATCCATTTAAACATTTTAAATCTCTGACAAGTGGCAAACCTAGTGATGTCATAGCTGCATAAAAATCAGTGTGGTGATTTTTATTGAGCGATACCATTGTGAGAATGTTTTGATAATAACAGTTGTTATGTTACAGGTAATGTGTTCACAAGGTTGTAATATAAGGCTTACAGTTGTTTAAATCTGGCTTAAAATTACAGTTAAATTTTGCTCTGTTGTATTTAAATTTTTAAAAAACATACCGTTCCACAAATGTGTTTAAGAAGTAGGAGTCAGCTGGTTAAGTTGCCTTTTGTGTGTGGCTTCCCCCACACACACCTTAAAGGAACATAGTTTTCATTTTGGATTTGGTATCAAGTCTCACAGAAACAGTAGTAGTTTTTCATTGGTTTTGGGGAAAGGTAATGGTAGAAGTTTTTAAATGGCCATTTTGAAAGCATGTGGGTTTTTTGTCAACTAAAACTGTGTGCTTCGTGTCTGGGATTTAATGAGCTTGCCTGACAGCTGGATTGACAGGCAAGATTATAAGAGTATCAGTAGATTCAGGTCAGTGATCTGTGTAATAAGGATTTACTTGGACTTGGTGTCTATGGTACAGTGGCAAAAGCTACTCTTTGAAGTGACTTATCTAGGCAAAAAGAGAATCACGGAAGTTAAACTATACTTGGTTTAATAACAATTTAGCATACTTGTTTTTCAAAGAGGCGGCTTAAACACAAGGCAGTGGAAGTAAAACAGAATAGGGAATTTCAGCTTTATCTTGTTCTGACAGTGTTGCAATACATCTGGTGATATATCATAATTTACATGGTTTAACATCTAATTATGCCACAGTGAATTAAGACAGAATTTTCAGTCTGTTGTGAAACTATTGCATTTAAGACTTTGAAACCCTTTCTTCAGTGCTCTTACTACTTCCCTGAATTAAAAGTGAAGGTGGAAATAATTATTATTGGTACAGGGCTTAAAATATTTCACAGAAGTATGGAAGCATGAGTACCTTCAATGTTCCAGATGCTTGCTAAAGAATAGAACCCATCTGCCCAAGTCTGTGTCTCAGATGGTGTAGACAGTGGTGACAATACTGTTAAAAATTGACACATGGTTATGTTTTGATTGTGTTAGTTCCTCCAGTCCTGTTTCTTCCCAAGCTCCTATTCTCTGTAGCTTCTGTTGTGGAAGATGTTTTTTCATGGTCAAGCAATTGGTGTGTTCTGGAAACTGGGACCCTTCTCTCGAATCTTCTACTTCGTACAGTACTCCTTGCCACCCCTCATCTTCTGGCCTATTCTGTTTTGAGTTTGCCATCCAGTCGTCTTCCATCAGATTTTAATCTGCCTGAAGATCTTTACCTAAGTGTGGAAGAGTTGCATGCCACTTGCTCAAAATCAACAGTATTCTTGAGTTAGTCAAAGAGATTGTTTGAAAGCTGCGTGTACATCAGCTATGGCTGGTGTGTTGTGTCTAGCAGATTGGCCTCAAGAGAAAAGTATAGCCTTTTAAAATTTAATTTCTGCTCCTTGTGGTTTCATTGAAAATGTTAAATACAAACTATTGAAATACTGTCTTCCTGAATCAATAGAGCTTTTGCCTCTCCTTAATTAAGAACACTGAAGCCTGATATGCCAGCATTAAAATGACTTCTAACATCTACTAGACAACTAGGACAAACTTGCTGGATGCCTGTGTTATGAATATCCCAACTTGAATGTGTTTGTGAAAAAAGGAAAATAGAGAATTCCCTCCAATAGTCTGAGCAAATCTGAGGGGTATTTCAAAAGCATGTAACCTGGGTGGTTCAAAAGCTCATTCTGCAGCTGTGAGAAGCTTAGGTTCTCTGGAATAATTCAGTCAGTAGTCTCTTTCTGACAGCTATGAAGTACTTTACAGAGAAAATTATTGACAAATTATTTTCAGATACATAAAATACTGGACATCAAAGAAAAAAGCGGGCTCTTAGCCATCATAGCACTGCAGAAGTGAATAGGTTAACTGTTGCAGCATTACAGAAGGACCCTTTTGTTTGCAGCTGCTGGAAGAGTAGAGGGACTGTCAGGTAAGGTGGGGGACTGCTTTAGAAGAGTGATCTCTTAAATTTTTGCATTTGCTACTAAATGCACAAGAAATCTGATGTCCAAGCCAATGCTAAAAAGACAAAGAAGCTTCAAAATACTGTTACTCAGTGAATTTGAAATTTTCAGAATGGGCATTCAAGTTTGCTTGTTCTGTTACACTTGATGAAGGCAAAGATGGGCTAGAATTGGCACCCTACTGATCTGATATGGTGTGAAAGTACCAGAGTTTCAGAGCCAACTTGCCTTTCTGAATGTTTCCTTGAAAATGTTTGTGGATGTTTTGCTTTTTCTGAATGTGAATGAATCCAAATGGGGGCAAGAAAATCCCTACCTGACAGGCCTGCATGAAGGTATGTCAACAACTTAGCAAAGTGTCTAGAAACTGTCCACAAGTTGTTCCTCCTGTATATTCTTTCTGGTTTGTGACACGGCATTTAACCTGTTTTAAAATCCTGTTAAATAAAGATGACCCTTTGCCTTTGTGCTGAATAGTAGTACATTTTGTAGGCCTTTGTGAAGACTAAATGTTGTTTCCGGTAATGACAAATTATGCCCTGCAGAGGCTGTGGAAAGTTTCAGCATTATAATACTCCTATACTTTGTCATCCTAATGAGTGTTCCTCTCCTGAAAACTTTGCTGCCAGCTGTATTGCAGTTATACCAGATGAAGCCCAACAGAAGCAAGGTGACTTGTACTGCTGTGTATGCTGGCTCTGAGCAGTCCTGATTGCAGTGTAGGATGTTTGCACTAGGAGCCCGTGCAGGGCACTGTTTTGGTAGCTGCTCATGTGAATGGCAAAAGTTGGCCTAGCTTACAGGCTATTTAATGATTTGCTTGCTGCCTTCCTGCATTGGATATGGGAGCTAGGTTTACAAGACGATGCTCACTGAGGTCTGTGTGCTTTTAGAACAAGCAAATACATGTAAACACTTCCATTTCAGAGGCAGTAATCAGTAAAATACATAGGTAAGCTTGGAGGGGAGGACTGCACTTAGAAAAAAAAGTGAGTTTGTTCTTAATCATTACTTTCCAGGTAGAAACACTTATTCTTACTCTTAAAATACAATATATTTTCCAACTGTGCTGTTGTAGATTGCATATGATTAGTTTCTCTTTTCAAATAGTTTTATTTTCTCAAAGAGCTTCTCATGTTCTTTTCAATATCTTTGCTTTGTAATGGACCATTTGTTGGCATGTGCTTCCTGCTTGTGTGTGGACCTCTTCTGTGAAACACCCTGTTTGCTCATAAGCTCACTTTTTCATTTCTGTTTGACCTCAGATATACTTGCTAAACTGATTTCATTCCTCCTTCTTCCTCTTTTCCTCACTGGGATTTTTAAGGAACTCTGGCTGTGAATCTCAATGCTTTGTAAGAAGGGGGGAAAAAAAGAGCTAAAATCCCTGTTACTCTGAAATTCCTGTGCTTTAGGAGGGTATGTTGAATGGGTGGCAGCACCATGGCTAGGGGGTGCATTAAGGCAGGGCCAGGCAAGCATGAGGCAGGAGATGCTGGTGGGTAGGTGAGAGAGGTTTTTTAAAATTCTGTACTTTAAACTTTTTCTCCTCACCTAGTTTCCAGTGATAAGATAGCAGCTATAATCAAGGGATTATATTCAGGGAGGCTAGTGTGAAATTATATTAACAAAAATATTTGTATAGTTTCAGTAGTTTAATAGCTTACTTCCAGAAGCATCTAGAAGGTTCTCTGCAGCATTTGCTGCTGGAGGATGGTGTTGTTACAGGATAAAGGGCTGGGCCAGCAGGTGCCAAAGTTGGTGGAGAGTCTCAATGGGATGTGAATCAGTCTCTCAACAAGCTGTGGCTTGTCCTGTTGCAATGTATACCTGTTTCAGGCTTTCCAGTTCAAATCTGAGCCTACTTTGATTCAACTTCAGGCTGATGGCTTTTTTGCCAGTGCTGTCTAACAGTCTTGGAAATTAGGGCAGAGCATCAGTATAGCTCAAGCCTGAGGATATCAACAGCTTTCCTCTCATACAGAGTAGTAGAGAATACGTCACCACAGAGTGAGCAGCAAAGTATCCAAATGTGAAGATGTAAGAATAAAAATTGTTTCTTTTGAAGTGGAGGGAGCTAAGAGAACTTTTCTTCTGTGAAAAGAAAAGCCTGTCTGTATTCTTTGTGCTGGATTGAGTCAACAGTAACAGGTTTTGTGCATAATTGGCCATTGGACCTGGATTTTTTTTTTCTTCCATCCAGACAACAGTTTGCTGCAAAAGGGAAAGCTCTTCAGGTTTTGGGAA